GAGGTTTTTTGGATGTTTAGAAAGTGAAACTTTTTGCAAGTTTCCCATAGACGGCGCCAATGTTGAGGGTAAGTCCCGCAGATCCGAAAGCCCAACACGAACTTTGGATATCTCAGGAATGGCGCCAATGTTGAGTATTGAAATGCTAACCCTTACCAATGACTTGAAACCTTCTATTTATACTAATGGAGAGCATGTGCTGCCTCTTGTTGATTGGCTGTTGTTCCACCGACTTGGTCATCCATGCTTCCACTTGCTGATGTCATAGTCTGGCATTAACTGCACCTGGCCACTTGCTGGTTGGCCGTTGCTCGAACGGGATGTTGGGCTGTACTGAAGATGCTGTCAAATTGGCCCAAGTATGATATATAGCCCGAACCTCGTTCGGTATGTCTTCTTACTGGGCCAACCTTTATTTGGGCCTCTAACACCCCGGTCTTGCAGGCCCCGAGGTAGTTACTCCAGACCTCTAGTACTGTCCCCACAAACCACCACGAGCCTTTACCGCGCACTTTGTCCTCACTCATGCGCGCCCTGAGAAACTTCCCAGGGGGTCACCCATCCCAAGACTACTCCCGTGCAAGCACGCTTAACTTTGGAGTTCTTGGGTGATGAGCTCCCTTAAAAGGAGATGCACCTCTGTTGGTATGAGTAGTACTATTAATCCTCTTATATTAATCTCGGGTATTACAATCACCCCCACTTAGGATCGCAACGTCCTCGTTGCGCCCTTAACAATCTCAATCAAACCCCAGAATCTTGCCCCGCTAAATGCCCGCCCGATATCTAACGGGTCAGTACACTGTCGCAGGGTTGCTCTGATACCACCTGTAACACCCCGGTCTTGCAGGCCCCGAGGTAGTTACTCCAGACCTCTAGTACTGTCCCCACAAACCACCACGAGCCTTTACCGCGCACTTTGTCCTCACTCATGCGCGCCCTGAGAAACTTCCCAGGGGGTCACCCATCCCAAGACTACTCCCGTGCAAGCACGCTTAACTTTGGAGTTCTTGGGTGATGAGCTCCCTTAAAAGGAGATGCACCTCTGTTGGTATGAGTAGTACTATTAATCCTCTTATATTAATCTCGGGTATTACAGGGCCGAACTCCGTTCGGTATGTCTTCTTACTGGATCTATTCATCATAGAGTGATGGGTCTGTTACTTGGGCCGGATATCTTGTGCCTTCCCGATCTGGGTATTGGGCCTCTAGGTCAATATCCCAACACATGTATATATATATTCAAAACTATAAGAAGTATGCTCTATGGTTGCCCATGCCAACAATTGGGATCCTCCATATCAGAAAATTATAGTTATATTTTTTGTAAAATAAATTGAAGAAGGCAAAAGATAAATCTACTTTGCATCAATATGTTCTTCAAAATCCTAATATATATAAATATATAATTATAAACTACGTACGTATATTAAAAGTAATAGACATACCTTTGTTGAATATATATTTAAGCTTCTTTGATCGAAGAACTCCTAATAATATGTAAAATCTGTTTTTCTTGAATGTGAAGTGATAAAAACATCAACTAATGAATGATGGAACTAATTAAGGCTCGTAATTATCTACATGCTCGAACTAAGAAATAGATGCTTAGTAAATAATAAAAATCTTTGTGAAGATTTCTGGAACAAACTAAAATGAAAGATGGAGTAAGAGAAAATTTGTTGTAGAAGAGATAGCCCAGCTCTCTATATAAACTAAAATACTTTATATGAGCTAGCTCTTTAACAATACATATTAATAAGAAGCTCGATTGTATGTTTTGCATTAATGAGATATCAAGGTGCATGTCTTATTGTTTCTTACCAACCCTACAAAAATAATTGCAAGGCATTTTAATTAATAATTATAATATCATATGTACGTTGATATTTACATGTACTCCGTAATATACATACATAATGAAAGTTGTCGGTCACGGGCCATACAAATAGATAAGAGCATTTATTTTACTTGTCTCCTTCCTTTGTGAGGAAACTCACATAATTGATACGGAGTATAATAAATACATACTCCATATTAGTCGGACCAACATGATTTTGTTTCTATATGACAGTTAATTATGGCCGGACTGCTAAAACAATTTCACCTAATAAAAATAATAACAATAATAATAATAATAATAATAATAATAATAATAATAATAACAACAACAACAAAAGTAATAAATTTAATCTCTCTAGCTAAAAACAGATAACTACTGATGGAATCTATGGACTCCGACCCCCCGGTCTGCCGACTACTGGGCCTGGACAGCGGCTCACTCACGTTTAGCAGATATCATTCATATTATTGTACATTATTATTGTTATTCAGATGTTCTAGATTAGTTTTTTATACTATCAGTCCATTTATGTAATCGGGTCTGTCAGGCCCATATTAGAGGCCCAGACCCGGATTTTCCCTATATATACTCCTTTAGGAAGCTACACACAAACTCATATTCATACACAATACTACTTCTTCTCCTTCTTTCCTGTTCAAACTCTCACTAGTTATAGGATATGGGTATCAATTATCCAACAATGGTGCTCTCGTTGAGAGGTTTGAACACAATCAAGTGAGAAAACCTCCCAAAAACAACCAAAAGATCCATCCAAAATCAAGAAAAACAATCTGAAAATCCAAAAAAAAAATTAGGTGTTCTGGGATTTCCCAGAACTGGCGGAAGCAACCTCCACCAAGCCTCACCGCGCCTCTGTCTCAGGGTGGGTCGCCCCGCTTCTGGGCTAGCGCCGCCGCCACCGGCCAGCCGCCACCGTCCAGCCACCACGAGCCACCTGCTGTAGTTTCAGATAGGATCTGCAACTTCTAGATCTGGACTTTTTTCTGCCTGAACTATCTTCTCCGTCCGGGCCTACAACGTGCTTTGCCGTCGCTGGTCGCAGCTTCACCTCCGTCGCAGCACCGCCGCCAATCCCTGGCTGAAGTCCCTGGCCGCACAGGCCCCACGCAGAAGGTGTTGAGCTGAGAACAGCGGTGCTGCCTTTCCTTCGAATCAGTCCCGAAAGCAGCCGGCCTGAGGCGCAGCGCGACCGGTTGTTGTTCGTCGGCAGTGGTCAAATGGAAACTAGTGCCACTTTCACGCTACTCGCCTCCCTCCATGGTCCGGCCGAATATAGCTCAAGCTGCAACAAACGAGAGGGCCCCACCGGAGATGGCCATGATCGAAGCGACCCTGCCTATTCTTCAGCGGCAACAATGGCCATGGAGAAGCGGGAGGGAGCCACGAACGAGTTTGAATTTTCAGCGGCAGAGACGACATACTATAGTCAGGTCCTTGTCGATGCAGCCCAGATCCAAAAGCCCCCACTCTCAGACGGTGGTTCCCGGCGAGTTATCCCGCGACCGGCAGATCTGGCTATCTCCGTACGCGGCACTTTGGTTAAATTTTTTCAAAGGCAACACAAGAAGGAAGGCCAAGGCCGTCAATTGTTAATGGCAGAATCAATAGGATATTGGGTCAGACCCCACTCTCAAACGTACTGCTTGCTTTGGGGAGGGTTTGTTTCATCTGCCTCTTCAAAAGATGCTCTTTGTTTGGTTGAGAGCCAACCACATACGAAGGATCCAAATTAATGGAGAACCTCGCATTATTTGGGAAGTCAACTATTACAAATTAATATGGGTCAGGCAGCACTAATCAATAACATGGTTTTTCACAAATTAGAATGAGCCCAAGGGGATTGCTGGATGCTATCCATTTTTGTGAAGCCCACCAAAATATTTCAGCCCATCAAAAGATAAGTGCTCTTTTAATTTTCATGTTATTTATATTTATTTAAATCATTTCTTTTTCGAGCGAATGTCACACTATCACGCACTTATGATCAAATGCCTAGTAGACTGTGGCTTGAGACCCATCACTAGGATTTAAAGCCCTGACTCTCAGGCACAAAGTCCTGACCAAGTCAGGCACAAAGCCCCGACCAAGTCGGGCATGAAGACCGGTCTTAGTCATTCCAAGAATGGCGACCGTTGCGTACGAATGGCTCACGCATCCACTCTACTAAGTATTTTATCATTACATCGACAATTCACATTTCCACTTTTTTCAAGTGACGAACTCCCGATCGGAAACATAAACCCCAAGGAAAAATTTTATATGCATTTTAAATGTGTAGGTACGAAAAATGACTTTACTCATTTTTAACCTCGTCTCCACTCGCCTCAAGGAGTGGGGGACTGGGGGATTGAGAGGTCAGATTTTCTGGATGAGCAGCAGATATCACGTATGAGCAAGAACGAGAGCTAAGTCAGATGAAGACAGGTTGAGCTACACAAGTGATTATGCTGGAGGGGGCCTACCTTCCTTGTTTCATGTTGGGGGCGTTAGGTGTACTCCTTTTCCCTTTATTAGGATTTTTTCCCACTGGGTTTTTTCCTAGTAAAGGTTTTTAACGAGGCACCTCCCCATCATGGACAAGGGTGGTGGTCCCCGGCCGGAGGGGAAGGAATCAAAGACAGAAGAACATTGCAGATACAGTTTGGACTACTCCCTTTCGCCTCGAGTACTCTCGACTCAGGGAGTGGGGGACTCCTGATGGAATATATGGACTCTGACCCCCCGGTCTGCCGACTACTGGGCCTGGACAGCGGCCCACTCACGTTTAGCAGATATCATTCATATTATTGTACATTATTATTGTTATTCAGATGTTCTAGATTAGCTTTTTATACTATCAATCCATTTATGTAACCGGGTCTGTCAGGCCCATATTAGAGGCCCAGACCCGGATTTTCCCTATATATACTCCTTTAGGAGGCTACACACAAACTCATATTGATACACAATACTACTTCTTCTCCTTCTTTCCTGTTCAAACTCTCACTAGTTATAGGATATGGGTATCAATTATCCAACAACTACTTGGAGCAACTTAATTGATGTGATATTTAATAAAATTCATTTTATAGAATGAATACATAATATTTATATTTACTCCTACTAATTAAACTTGAATTTATAATTTGTGTAGTAGATTATGGCACACATTAGCAAAAGAGAGTTCGACGTCCTTGATTTATCTGGCCAAAAGTATTTGGAATGGAAAGTCGACGCTTTGGCACATTTAAAAGCAAATGCCCTTGAAAATACAATTGCTGAAAATAATTCAGCCACTTCCCAAAATAAGGCAAAAGTCATTATCTTTCTTCGTCACCATCTTCACGAAAGTTTGAAGTCTGAGTATTTATTGGTAGATGACCCTAAAGAATTATGGGATAATCTCCAAGAAAGGTATGGCCATCAACAAAAGGTCCTTTTACCAAAAGCTCAATATGACTGGATCAATTTACGATTCCAGGATTACAAATCTATAAGTGACTACAATTCTGCCTTGTTCCGAATAACATCAAAACTGAAGTTATGCGGACAAAAAGTCACTGATGCTGAAATGTTGGAAAAAACTCTATCCACTATGCATCTTTCAAATATGCGTTTACAAGAGCAATATAGACAAAAGCACTTTCAAAAGTATTCTGATTTAATATCAGTATTACTACTTGCTGAGATGAATAATGACATTTTGATGAGAAACCACAATATGAGACCCACGGGTTGTAGCCTTTTAGTTTTGGTCCACAAAATCATGGTTCAAAACATGAATCAAATGCAACCCATAGTGGTGCTCGTGGACATTTCAAACGTGGTCGTGGTATTGGTCATTATAATGGACCTAGCCGGGGAAACAAACAGAGTAGTAGCTCTTACAAAGGCAAGGGAAAGCAAAACCCCATCAAACAAGAGGCTCGACGAAATCTTCAGAAAAGGCTAAAGTCACTTGTTTTAAATGTGGCACGTCGGGACATTGGGCAAATAAGTGTCGCACACCTACACATTAGGTTGACTTATATAAATCATCTCTAAAAGGAAAGAATGTGGAAACTAATTACGTCAACGAAAACGTTCCACCAATGCCCACATTTAATATGTCTGATTTCTATATGGATAATAATGAGATGAACACTGACATCGTCATGGGTGAAAAATAATAATAATAAAAATGAAATTATTCTGTTATGTAATATATTCTACAATAAAAGTTTGTTGTATTGTAATTTTTATTTGGTGTGCTTGTTTCGGTTGTAAAAGTTATGTACATTTTAATGAATAAATTTTTGTTTATATTGCAATATTGAACTAAACTTTGTTCATTTTTATCTTTTTAAAGATATTGAGTTAACTGAAATTTCTCCAAATGGCTTTGAACAATGTTTAATAGACAGTGCCACAACGCACACCATTTTGAGACATATAGATTATTTTTCTCATATGACATTAGTTGATGCTAATGTCAATACAACCTCAGGTGTTGCTAAACTCATTGAAGGTTCTGGAATAGCCTATGTAATTCTTCCAAAAGGGATAAAATTAATAATTAAAGACGCTTTATACTCCAGTAAATCACGGAGAAATCTTTTGAGTTTCAAAGATATGCGTCTAAATGGTTTTCACATTGAAATCATGTCTGAAAATCAAAAGGAATATTTATGTCTAACGACAAATAGATCTGGCAATAAATATATTTCAGAAAAAATGCCAGCATATTCCTCCGGGGACTATATTATACATATATCAGTCCAATTGAAATAAATGTGGTATCTAAAATTAATGACCACAATTCCTTTATCTTGTGGCATGACCGTTTAGGTCATCCAGGCAGCACTATGATACACAAAATTATTCAAAATTCACTTGGACATTCATTAAATAATGTCAAAATTCCACAATCAAGTGATTTCTCATGCATTGCCTGTTCTCTTGGCAAATTAATTATCAGACCATCTTTATACAAAATTGGAGTTGAATCTCCTGCATTTTTAGAAAGAATTCAAGGAGATATTTGTGGGCCAATTGCCCCTCCGTGTGGACCCTTTCAATACTTTATGGTGCTCATTGATGCATCAACACGTTGGTCACACGTCAGTCTTTTATCGACTAGAAATTTTGCATTTACAAATCTCCTTGCTCAAATTATTCGTTTGAGATCACAATTTCCGGATTATTCAAAAAAGAAAATCCAACTTGATAATGCAGGGGAATTTACATCACAATCTTTTAATGACTATTGCATGTCAATTGGAATTGAAGTGAAACATCCAGTTCCACATGTGCATACACAAAATCGTCTTGCTGAATCCTTAATTAAGCGATTACAATTAATTACTAGACCATTATTGATGAAATCCAGATTACCATCATCTACATGGGGATATGCTATAATGCATGCTGCAAATTTAATTCGACTCAGGCCAACTGCATATCATAAATTTTCCCCATTGCAATTAATATCTGGTAAAGAATCAAATATATCACACATAAAAATATTTGGTTGTTCTGTGTATGTACCAATTGCTCCACCTTATCGTACTAAAATGGGTCCTCAAAGAAGGATGAGAATTTATGTTGGTTTTAAATCTCCCTCAATTATTAATTATCTAGAACCTATGATTGGTGACTTATTCACCGCACGGTTCGATGACTGTCATTTTGATGAAACAGTATTCCCAGCCTTAGGGAGAGATAATAAAGAAATGGACCCACGTACCAAAGATATTACTTGGAATGCAACAGATTTATCTTTTCTTGATTCTCGCACAAATGCTTGTGAACAAGAAATTCAAAAGATCATTCATTTACAAAGTGTTGCAAACCAATTGCCTGATGCTTTCACAGACTCAAAGAAAGTGACAAAGTCACATATTCCAGCTTTGAATACTCCTTCTCGAATAGAAATTCTTGCGGAGATTAGCGAAAGAACTCTTGCTAATGAATCTATGATACGTAAAAAACGTGGTAGACCACTTGGTTCAAAAGATTTGAAACCGAGAAAATTTAAAAAGCAAGACGTAGTTTGTGATGCCAAAGAAGTTCAAACTTCTCAAGAAGAAAATGAACATTTTGAAAATATCGGCTTTGAAGATAACATCAATAATAATGATACATCAAAAGAGGATCCAATCATCTTTGAAGAGGTAAATATTCCAGATAAAGATAGAAACGTCGATAATTTCCAAATTTCAATCAATTACATTTCTAATGGAATACAATGGAATAGAAAAGATTGGCCAAAATATATTGAATGAACACGATGACAATGAGCCTAAATCTATTGACGAATGTCATCGTAGAAACGATTGGCCAAAATGGAATGAAGCGATTCAGGTAGAACTAAAATCGCTAGAAAAGCGTAATGTTTTTGGACCAATTGTCCACACGCCAAAAGGCGTAAAACCTGTAGGTTTTAAATGGCTGTTTGTGCGTAAACGCAATGAGAAAAATGAAATCGTTAGATATAAAGTCTGACTTGTTGCCCAAGGTTTTTCTCAAATGCTAGGAATCGATTATGATGAGACGTATTCTCCAGTAGTTGATGCTACTACTTTACGATTTTTAATTGGCATGTCTATTTTTGAAAGGCTGCAAATGCGGCTAATGGATGTAGTGACCGCATATTTATATGGTTTACTCGATACAGACATATATATGAGAATTCCTGGAGGCTTTAAAATACCTGATGCTTATAGCTCGAAATCTCGAGATTTAGTTTCCATAAAATTGCAAAAGTCATTATATGGATTAAAACAATCTGGACGCATGTGGTATAACCGTCTAAGTGAATATTTGATCAAAGAAGGATACAAAAATGATCCTATTAGTCCATGTGTTTATTGAAGGAAAGAAATAATTTGTATTTAGAACCCAATATTGTAGTTAGCCGTTACATATCTTTGGCATTTACTATAGTATTATTATTTACCTTATATACATGATTAGGAGATGTATAAATAGCAGCCTTGTAAACCAGTTTTAATACACAAAAATATATTCAAAACATTTGTTCTCTTCTCTCTATTATGGTATCAGAGCCACATGAGCTCTAACCAGCCATCTCCCTCTTCCTATGGAGGCAAACGACCCCCCTCAGCAAGGGGATCTCAGAAATTCCCCAAACGGGCAGCCTACCGTTTCTTCTACAATTTCCTCTACTGCAGTCATCAACCCCCTCACTCCAGATGGATTAATCATCCTCAACCCCAGCCACTTCCCAGAAAAACTTGCAGGAACGAATTACCTCATATGGCGTGACCAAGTGCTTGACCTCTTGGTTGGCTCTCATCTCGACCAATACATCAGTGATGGTGCTGTTCCGCCACCTGTCAGTGACGCTGCAGGCCATCTCCGGTGGAATCGTCAAGACCGTCTCCTCCGACATGCCCTTGTCTCATCCCTGAGCTCGGCGTGCAAACCATTGGTTGGATCCGCACGTACCTCTGCTGCGGTGTAGAAGACCCTAGAGCAGCTTTACGGCACCCGTTCAGCAGCTCAAATCCGGAATATGAAAGATGTTTTCTGCCACACTCGACAGGGATCTAAGGTAGTGGGTGAGTATCTCCATCATCTCCGTACCCTCGCCGATGAATTAGCTAAGGCTGGTCACCCTGTTGATGACGACGACTTCGTCCTTCAAGCCATGGAGGGCCTCCGACCTGAGTTTGAATCCTTCACAAACTCTATTCGCACATGTGGAGATAACAGTTTCGGCAACATCTACGCCTTGCTCACCGGGTTTGAAGCTACTCTACGGCGGAAGGAGGCTCTGGATACGTCGGTTGGCGTGGTGACGACGAACAATGTTGCGATGGGAGCTCTGTCGCATTTACTACCCGCAGAACTCCAGGGCAGGCTAATAATAATACACCTTCCTTATTGGGCCCTAGCCCGTCTAGTTATCAGCCCAGCCGCACAAACAACTCAGCCCGAGGTTCTACTGGGAGTCAGCCCAGTTGCTCAGAAACCAGCGGCCCAATTTTTCTCAAAATTCTAACCGACGTGGCCAGAATACTTTTCGGGGTACCATCAAAAATATGACAACCCGCAACATCTCCGGGAATAGTAATCCCAATTTCGAAGCAAATATTATGTGCCAAATTTGTGGGAAACCAAACCACTCCGCTCTCAATTGTTGGCATCGGTTTGAACAACAGGCTTATCCTCCTCAGGTCAACACGACTGTCACTAATCATAATGGATGGTTACTTGATTCTGGAGCAACCAATCATGTCACCAACAACCTGAATAATCTTACCTTGGCATCCGATTATACTGGCACAGACTCTCTCGTTATTGGTAATGGTAAAGGTCTTGCGATAGCACAAGTTGGCCATATGACCCTTCACTCTCTTTCTCTACCTAATACCCTTTTTGTCCCTTCTATTCATACCAATTTAATTTCTGTCGCCAAATTATGTCGCGATAATGATGTACTAATTGAATTTCATTCTTCCTTTTGTCTTGTTAAGGACCGGCGGACGGGAGCAATTTTGTTACGGGGTATGAATAAAGGAGACGTCTACAACTTGCCAGATGTACCCCCTCCACCATCTCCGTCTGCTCACATCACACAAAAATATTCCCTTAATAATTGGCACTGTCGCTTAGGACATCCAACCCTCCCTATTACTAAAAATTTTTTGTCGTCCTTAGGTATTTCCTTTTCCGATGTTACTTCGAATAACTCTTTGTGTGTCTCGTGTGCTAGTAATAAAAGCCATAAGCTGCCATTTGCAAAATCATCTATTTCGAGCTTTGGACCTCTAGATTTAATCTATACAGATGTGTGGGGTCCCGCTCGTGTTAATTCTATTGATGGCTTTCGTTACTATGTTATCTTTGTTGATCATTATACCAAATATATTTGGTTTTATCCTATAACTCATAAAAGTGAGGTCACTCCACTCTTTCAAAAGTTTAAAAAGATTGTTGAAAACTTTTTTCAACGCACAATTAAAACAGTTTATTCTGATGGGGGAGGCGAATACATAACCTTAGGGAAATTCTTAAGCACTTGTAGGATTTCTCATTTATTTACACCTCCCTACACTCCAGAGCACAATGGCTTTGCTGAACGCCGACATCATCACATTGTGGAAATTGGTATCACCCTACTTCACCATGCATCTATGCCTCTTAAATATTGGTCTTATGCTTTTCTTACCGCAGTTTATCTCATTAATAGACAACCTGCTCTCTCTCTTAACTTCTGCACTCCATATGAAAAACTCTTCCAACAACCTCCTAATTACACTAAACTTGCTGTTTTTGGTGCCAATGTTTTCCGTGGTTACGTCCCTATACCACTCATAAATTAGAACCACGCTCCAAACCACGTGTCTTCCTGAGATATTGTGACCAACAAAGTGCCTATCGTTGTCTTGATCTTACCACCAACCGTATCTTTGTCAGCAGACATGTTGTGTTTGATGAGTCAGCCTTCCCTTTTTCTACATCCTCACCACCCGTCTCAAATATCACTTCTGAAGTTGATCACTGGCTTCAGCCTTCTATGTCTTATTTTCCCATTTCAGGTACTCTGGCTGCGGGGGCGTTTCCTCCTACTCATACCTCGGCTCAACAATTGACTCTTGACACATCACCCACTACCTCTACTCAAACTGATATCCCGCTTTCTCCCCTCCCTAAACCCACACCACCGCAAATTATTACTTACCAATGCCGACCCAAACTCAATCCTCCTATTCCCCCCTCGTTTACCCGCCACTGATCTCACTACCTCAAATCCACCCCTCGATACTCCACCGCCCAAACGTACCCATCCGATGACCCTTCGACCCCGTAAACAAGCCAATGTTGCCACTGTTGATCCTTTACCTCACCATATAATTCCCACTTGTGCTTCTCAAGCTATGCAGGTACCAAAATGGCGGAGTGTTATGACAGTAGAATTTGATGCCTTGGTTCGACAGGGCACTTGGGATCTTGTTCCGACTCAGCCTGGTCAGAATATTGTGGGTTGTAAATGGGTATATACAGTGAAGTATAACCCGGATGGCTCCTTGGATCGCTATAAGGCTCGGCTAGTGGCTAAGGGCTTCCATCAGCGCACTGGGATTGATTATTCCGACACCTTTAGTCCGGTCATCAAACCGGTTACCATTCGTATTGTTCTGACTATTTCTCTTTCTCATGGTTGGCCAGTACATCAGTTAGATGTCAATAATGCATTCCTACATGGGACTCTTCAGGAGGAAGTTTACATGAAGCAACCTCCGGGCTTTAATGATGCTTCTGGGTTTGTTTGTCGTCTTCGGAAATCTATTTATGGCCTTAAACAGGCACCTCGTGTGTGGAGTCAATCTCTTAGTGGCTTTCTTCTGTCACTTGGGTTTTATCAATCGGTTGCTGATGTCAGTCTGTTCATTTTTTCCTCCCATCCATCTTACATCTATGTTTTGGTCTATGTGGATGATATTATTGTTACTGGCTCTACACCCGACTTGATACATTAGACTATTGACTCATTGGCCCACCGATTCTCTATCAAGGATCTTGGCTCCTTACACTATTTCTTGGGCATGCAGGTTACTCCTACACAGGATGGACTCTTCCTTGATCAACATAAATACATTATGGACTTATTAAAAATGTTAAAATGGATGAGGCCAATCTGGTAGCTACGCCGTTAGCTCCCTCTGCTTCATTAACCCTGTTTGACAGTTCAGGTTCATGTGATGCCACTCTCTATCGCCAGGTCCTCGGGTCACTTCAATATTTGAATCTTACTCGTCCAGATGTTGCCTTTGCTTTTAACAAACTTGCTCAATTCATGCATAAACCTACGGTCAATCATTGGCAACTTCTCAAACGTCTTTTGCGCTATCTACAGGGAACTACTTCTCATGGCCTGTTTCTCTGTCCTCGCACATCCCCCTCTCTCCGTGCCTTTGCTGATGCTGACTGGGCAGGGAACCCTGATGACCGTTCTTCTACTAGCGCATATGCCATTTTTCTCGGGGAATCTCTTATATCTTGGAAATCAGTTAAGCAACGTACCATTGCTAAGTCTTCCACGGAAGCTGAATATCGAGCTCTTTCCACCGCTGCCTCTGAAACTATTTGGATTGAATCTCTGTTGCGTGAGTTGCGGCACCCGCTCCCTTCTCCTCCACTCCTCCTTTGTGATAACAAAGGTGCCACTACGTCTTCAGCAAATCCTGTCTTCCACACTCGCATGAAACATGTGGTAATTGACTTTCATTTTGTTCGGCAGCGGGTTCAACGTGGACTTCTTCAAGTTCATCACATTTCATCCTCTGATCAGATAGCTGATGCCCTCACCAAACCGCTCCCCCAGCAACGCTTCATTCTTCTTAGAGACAAGCTCAGGATTCTTGGCAGTGACAGAATACCTGACTTGCGGGGGCGTATTGAAGGAAAGAAATAATTTGTATTTAGAACACAATATTGTAGTTAGCCGTTACATATCTTTGGCATTTACTATAGTATTATTATTTACCTTATATACATGATTAGGAGATGTATAAATAGCAGCCTTGTAAACCAGTTTTAATACACAGAAATATATTCAAAACATTTGTTCTCTTCTCTCTATTAGTGTTTTCATTCAGCGATCTGAATCGGGATTCGCCATAATTGCAGTATATGTTGATGATTTGAATATAATCGGAACTCCCAATGAAATTGAAAATACTGCTAAATATCTCATGAAAGAATTTGAAATGAAAGACCTTGGGAGAACAAAATTTTGTCTCAGCATTCAAATTGAACATTTGAGAAATGGTATTTTTATCCACCAATCAAATTTTACCGAGAAACTTTTGAAGCGGTTTTACATGGAAAAAGCTCACCCACTCAATTCCCCGATGGTGGTTCGATCTCTCAATGTGCATGATGATCTTTTTCGACCTTTTGAAGATGATGAAGAAATCATTGGTCCTGAAATACCATATTTGAGTGCTATTGGAGCGTTAATGTATTTGGCTAATAATACACGACCAGATATTGCTTTTTCTGTAAATTTATTATATTAGCCAGGTATAGTTCTTCTCCGACAAGAAGACATTGGAATAACGTCAAACATATATTCCGCTATCTCAATGGTACAATCGATCTTGGATTGTATTTCAAGAATGGTGCAAATGCCACTTTAATTGGCAATGCCGATGCAGGATACTTATCTGATCCACAAAAGGCAAAATCACAAACAGGATATGTATTCACCTATGGTGATACCGCTATCTCATGGAGATCGATGAAGCAAACATTAACCGCCATATCATCAAATCATGCAGAATTAATTGCTCTTTATGAAGCATGTCGAGAATGTGTCTGGTTGAGATCAATGATCCAGCACATACAAAATGAATGCGGTATAAAATCTTTTACTTGTAATCCTACTGTGATTTATGAAGATAACACAGCATGTATAGCTCAGATCAAAGGAGGTTACATCAAAGGGGATAGAACAAAGCATATAGCACCAAAACTTTTCTCCACACATGATCTTGAGAAAGAAGGAACAGTTGATGTCAAACAAATCAAGTCCTGCGACAACCCTGCTGATTTATTCACAAAGTCATTGACACTGAAGAAATTTGAAGAACTGGTCCACAAAATTGGAATGTGTCATCTTCGTGATATATGTTAAATTGAGGGGAGTAATATAATGCACTGCACTCTTTTTCCCTTCGTCGGGTTTTTATCCCACTGGGGTTTTCCTGACAAAGGGTTTTAACGAGACGTTACATTATAATACTATGATACTAATACCCCAGAATAATTAGAAGATGACCATTCAAGGGGGGTGTTGAAATAAAGTTGAATTAGTCATCTTCTAACTATTCATGATTAGGAACACATTATCATCATTGTTAATATAAATAAGACATCATAATTATGATTTCTAGATGATAATTGTATGACTCACAATTAGCCCCTAATCTAGACAAGATTATATTTTCCCCTATAAATAGGAGTATTCTCCTTCATTGTAAAGACACCATTAGAACATCTCTAATACACCTCTATCACTAAGTGTTTATACTATATTTTCTCTCCCTGATTTCTGCTTATTTGCTTCCATTTTATAACAATTTTCCAATAATGAAAGGCATATTATTACTACTATTTCGAAACTAAAAAACAAGATATTTTATGTCGTAGACATTTTATTTTCAGAATATAAATATAGTTTTCATTTAATTCCAGATTTACAGCAGCCGCCAGCCAGCAAGCACATACTTACTGCTTAGAGACTTTTTAAGGTCGACTTTAGCTTTGGGAGAGACTTTGCCTTGAGCCAAAGAAAGAATTACCCCTCCTAGCTCCCAGTCTCTCTCTTTCTGATTTTTAGATCTGTAGCACTTGGCGGTGGCCAGTATCAACCCAGAAAAGCCGCAGAAAGAGTTTATGCTACTGGAAATGGGGATATCAAGATCTCTCGCTAAATCCACTGCCTCCACCATACTTACAGTCTTCTTGTTTTCCTGCTTCTGCTTCACTTCTACAGGTATATTTGTGCTGTCCACATTCTTGACTTCGATTTCAAGATTGCTTTTTTGTTTTCACTGTGTGAAGCTTCTTAGCTCTTGACTTGTGGGGGACAATGATATATTGAATAATTCTATTTGGTCACTGAACCGACACTTAATGCACAAATCACACTCCAATGAAATTATATTATTAATAAGCTTTATGGAGTTTATGAAGTTTCAAACAACAATAAGGTTTTGTTACCCGCTAAAACCAGTCAAAGATTAGATCTTTAATTTGTGAGTTTGATGGGTGCTGTAAACATGTTTAGAATTTCCTTCTGCAATCTAATCTAGACCTTCAAAGTTACGAGTATTTTAATTAAATCTTTGTTAATATGGATTCTATCTCTATATTCATTGAATGGATTTTTTCTTTTGCCAAATTTAATGCAGATGCCTTTGATCCACTTGATCCAAATGGAAACATCACTATAAAATGGGATGTTATCGGCTGGACAGCTGATGGCTATGTGGTAAATACTACTCTCTATTTTCTGTTGAGCATATATGGTACACATATTGACACATGATTTGCCTTGGACACTTAACTCACTTTCCCAGCTAATGTGAAACTCATGCTGTTTTGGGGCTCGTTTATTATGTGACTGAAATGGCATTTTCTAAAAGTAGAAATGTTTGGTAACATCCATTTCAGCTACTTGTTGTTCTTCTGAATAAACCATAATTGGCTACGAAGAAGAACCTTATTGTGTAGCACTTTTCCATTCCAATCTTTTGAAGTATACAATTCTAATAGAAGAATGATCCAATGCTAATAATCTTTGTAATGGGATTTCGGGACAGGCTGTTGTGACGATGTACAACTTCCAGCAATATAGGCATATTCAAGCCCCAGGGTGGACCTTGGGATGGACATGGGCTAAAAAGGAAGTTATTTGGAGCATGGTTGGAGCTCAAACCACCGAACAAGGAGATTGTTCAAAGTTCAAAGCAAACATTCCACATTGCTGTAAAAAAACTCCAACCGTTGTTGACTTGCTACCTGGAACTCCTTACAATCAACAAATTGCAAATTGTTGCAAGGGAGGAGTTATCAATTCCTGGGGTCAGGATTCCTCAACCGCTGTAAGCTCTTTCCAAGTCAGCGTTGGTCAATCAGGGACCACCAATAAAACTGTTAAAGTGCCTAAGAATTTTACGTTGAAGGCACCTGGTCCAGGTTATACTTGTGGACCCGCAAAGATTGGAAAACCCACCAAGTTCATTACTTCAGATGGGAGAAGAGTAACTCAAGCTATGAGTAAGTAATTGGCATTACCGCATTACATTATTAGTAATAATTATTGCAACAGTTACAAACATATATGGCATTGAGAAACTCAACCTATCAAATTTTAAGACTTTGATTCCCCGACTATTGTGTCAATAAGACTTCCATTACCATCTTCGATTTTTTTACTTCTAGTCCTTTAGTTAATTGTTGTAAATTGTGATAGAAATATGTTTGGTAGACTTTGATTTGTTTTACTTTTGCCCCACTAACTATTGTGGTAGCGGCACTTTTGATACCCGTCTTTGAATTTTGGCAAAAAGGTAGAGAAGACAAAAAATGTCAATGTCAAAATAGTTGAATGACAGGTGTCACCATCACAACAGTGATAGGGCTAAAGTTAAAAAATCAATGATGAGTATCAAAAGTGTCCAGTAAGAGCCTAAGAGGACTAAAAGTGAAAAAAATCAAAGACGAGTATTAAAATTGCGATTCACTTAATAGTCACAGAATTAAGTACTAAAAATGTCTGTGTTGTGACAATAGTAGGATAACAAAAAGTGGAAAAACTCAAAGGCCATCTACCAAAAGTATCATTGCCGTAGTAGTTATCAGATGAATAAAAGTGGGAAAAACTCTTCTTCGAAATTGAAACACATGCATTTTGACTCTATTGGATTTTGACTTTGGATTTTCTACATTTTTCAGTGACATGGAACGTGACATGCATGTATTCACAGTTTCTAGCCCAAAAAACTCCAACTTGTTGTGTCTCACTATCGTCCTTCTACAATAGTACAATTGTACCCTGCCCAACATGCACCTGCGGCTGTCAAAACAATGGCACTCAACGTGCAAACTGTGTAGAGTATGTTCCACTCATCTGGGCTTCCTAGCATTGTTTTTTCTCTTAACCTCTCAAGGGCCTTATTTATGCTGTTTTATAATTGTTTCTTACAGTCCAAAAACTCCCCACCTAGCCTCGGTTGTATCAGATCACGGGAATGGGAACGGAAACTTGGCTCCTTTGGTACAGTGTACAAACCACATGTGCCCGATTAGAATTCACTGGCATGTAAAGCTTAACTACAAGGAGTATTGGCGGGTGAAGATAACCATAACCAACTTCAACTATAGGATGAATTATTCACAATGGAACATGGTTGTCCAACACCCCAACTTTGATAATTTGACTCAGATCTTCAGCTTTAATTACAAGGCTTTAACTCCGTATGGAACATTGAGTAAGTTGCACTTCTGCATTCACTAAGTTCTATCTTATAACTCAGCCGTTAGGTATAAATGCATTAGATATATTATCATTTAAAATGTCAAATGCATGAATACCTTTCTAGTTATTGCTAAATGTTATCTCAGGAGTTGATTGGAGTAATACAAGTCATGACTAACTTGATATAATATTTTCCTTCGAACAGATGACACTGCGATGCTATGGGGAGTGAAATTCTACAATGATTTTCTTTCTCAAGCCGGTCCTTTAGGAAATGTCCAGTCAGAGCTTCTCTTCAAAAAGGATTCATCAAGTTTCACTTTTGAGAAGGGATGGGCATTTCCACACAGAATCTATTTCAACGGGGACAACTGTGTCATGCCACCACCTGATGCATATCCATATTTTCCAAATGCTGCTTCTAGACATACGGCCACTCTACTTTCTCTACTTGTGACATTCATATCATCCATGGCATTCTTCTTTGTGTGCATCTAAAATGCGCGTTTTATTGATATCATTTTGAAATTCTCTGTATAATAGTGTCATCTTTGCGTGCACGTCTAAAATGTGCCTTGTTGAGTTTGTTTGTTTATACTTCCAAGTTCTAAAAACATATTGCTTGTAGATTTTTGAGTTCATAGTATCACACTGTTACTATAGACTGCACTAGAATAAAGACCATTACAAAGAGATAAGTTTTATGACAATACTTATGGTATTTTGTTCTCAGTATTGCATTTCATCATAATTATTTCTTAATATAATAAATATTCTATACAAGTTGTTATGTCCTTTCATTCTGTCCATTTTTTAGTCTGTTACTTTGGTATTCTTGTATCCTACGCTGAATTTTAAAATCTGCTTAATAGATTTTTACTTTCAAAAAAATCTAAACCCGACTTCTAGACTGGGTATTCCAAAAAAAATCTGTGTTGCAAGAACCTGTCCAGTAGAGAACCTGCGTTTTACTTTCACTCGAGCCATTTTCCTGTGAAAATATTCATGACTAGTTTGACTACTTTATCTGTTCTTTCAGTTTTACGAAGAGATGCTGTGATTACTAAAATCACTTTTGCTAAATGTACATCTTGATTACATCCCATATAACCCCTCATTTTTTACTTCACTCCCTTCTCATTTGATGGGATATTAGGGTCCCGCCCAATATACCGGTCCAAAGTATCCCTAAGCCCCAAGAGCTAGGGAAGCCCTAGGGGAATCAGTAGGATCCCAAACGTGATCCAGGCAAACAAGGAGACACCCGGTCGGCACCCCTTGAATAGGGATTGACCTGGGCCGGTCCGGTTCCGGCCCGGGCTTGGGCGGGCTTTTTTAGAAACATGGGCCCGGAACCGGCCTAGGGTGATACCGGTTCGATCCGGGTCAGGCCTACCCAGCCGGGTAGTGGGCCGGTTCGGGCCGGGCCTGGGCTATTTAATTTTTTTTGTTTAAATATTAAATTAAGATTACTTGGACATAAAAAGGTTAAAATATATTTATTTGAAATATGTAGTACAATTGAAAATTGAGCAAAAATTAAAACATGAAATACACTTTTTAATAAATACTCCCTCCGATTCCTAAACAAGTTACACATTTGACTTCACACATATTAAGAAAATAAATTTGACTTTACTGTGGAGTGCATTGTTTGGCACTGTTTGAACACTGTTTGACACTGTTTTGATGTAGATAATAAAGAAATGTTTGAAAGTGGAACTTAATTTTGAATCTGCCCGAAAAGGAAAGGTGGAATTTGTTTCAGAAACGGAGGGAGTAAGAATCAATCGGAATTTTCGCCATCTTCGGTTGTTTCTTCCATAAAGTGGCGGGTGGGTTCAATGCTAATTTCTTGAGTTCTACATTTGACATTCAACCAATCGTGGAAGCAAACAAGCGTTTCAAGAGAGTTTGCGCTCAATCTCGTTCTATAATCCGTTAGGACTAGGGGTGGACTCGGGTCCGGGTCGGGCCTAGGCCCGGCCGGGCCGGCGGTTCAAGAATGGTGGACCCGGGACCGGCCCGGGTAGCCACCGGGTCCGGTCCGGTCCGGGTCCGGGCCGGGCCTCCGGTTTGATTTTTTTTTTTTTTTGCTTTCCTAACCCCCCCCCCCCTCACCCCCCACCCTCCCAAACCCCCCCAAACCCATCCTACCCATCAAGCCCAACCCGGGTGGAACCCCAAAAATGAAAAAAAAATAAAAAAAATTCAATTTGGCCCGGGCCCGGGCCCGACCCGGCCGGGCCGGTTCACCAAAATTGAGACCCGAGCCCGGGCCCGCCCTACCCCCCGGGCCTAGGCCCGACCCGGACCCGAGAACCGGGCCGGTCCCGGTCCCGCACAGTAGCGGGCCGGGCCGGTCCATGGGCCGGGTGGCCCGACCCGAGTCCAAGCCTAGTTAGGACGTTGCCGGCCGCACTAAACTCTTGTTCCACAACTATTGATACCGGCATTGCTATCATTGCTTAACCATCTTTGATAAGATCGGGAACGTTCTCTCTTTTTCCTTCCACCACTGAAGAACGTCAAAGTCATCCCCTTCTTCATACTCAACAGGAAATGTTAGATACAAAGAAAGCTCGTTGATCGAATTTTGTTCATTAACCGGAGTTGATTTACTTTTTTCATAAGATTGCCAAATGCAGATTTCAAAATTGATTTTCCTTTAAATGAAGAAGATGTTCGTGGCGGAGGAGGAGGTGCATTACCATATTGTGCATGAAACTCATTAAATAATTGATATAATAAATTACTCAGCTCTTGGAACTGTTGTTTAGGGTCTATGGCCTTGTTGTCGTACATAGGCAATGGACCAAAAAAACAAGCATAATAGTAATCTAAACATTGCTCCAAAGAAGCAAGTCTAAAACGAGAATCAAGAATAAATGCAATACTATATATATGCGGAATATAGGAATTATGTTTTAAAAACTTTTGTTTCATGAAGTCACAAAAATAACTAACGTAAGCAGCATCAGCAAATTCATAAAAAGTGCCAGCGAGATTAACAGCTTCAACAAAAAATTGGTTTGCGGTAGGTTTATAAACATGACTAAAAGTTTGAGTTGCATTATTAAAATACACCAAAACATTCACAACTTTTTCACATGTGTCGATGTCGGTCGGGTTTATAATATAGTTATCATATTCTTTTAAAAAAAGCAGGAAAATGGTTTTTAAATCTAATAAGCACCTTAATTAAGTTATAAGTACTACTCCAACGAATAGACAAATCTTTAGGAAAAACACAATATTTGACATGTCTTTCTTTCAAATAATTTTTTCATTGCATCTTAAGTTGATTAATAGCCCAAATAAGTTTAATCCCCCCTTCACCACCTCCATAGCATCTCCCAACGCCGCTAGCCCGTCCTTTACACATAAATTTAAAATATGACATGCACAACGCTGATGAAAAAACCTACCCATCAAAGAAGAACCACACAATTCACGCAATCTAGGAATAGCAGCAGTATTATTAGTAGCATTATCAAAACAATAGCAAACACCTTATTAATCAAATTATACTCAATTAAAATACGCTCAATGAGAATATAAATATTATCACCGGTGTGTCGATCATTAAATTCACGAAAAGCAAGAACACGTTTATGCATGCACCAATCATCATCAATATAATGTGCAGTCAAACCCAAATAATATAAATGATGATAAGTATCCTCCCATATATCACTACATATACTAACACGTCCATCAAAGTTTGCGAAAAACATTTGTAATTTTTGCTTTTCAAAAACATATTACCTTATAACTTCTTTTTTAATTGTTTTGCGACTACAGTTTTGAAATTGAGGATTTAAAGTACCTTGAGCATATTCTTTTGAAGCAAGACTTTCAGAAAAAATAAAAGGCAAATTTTCTTCAACAATTAAATGAGACATACCAGTCAAATGTCTTTGATCATCATAGGAGAAATTACTAAAGGGTTGGCCAGTTGCAAACCTTGAAATTTGTGTTTGCTTTCCCTTGCCTTTGTCTAATTTCGCATATTCCGCCGGGTGCTTGGCCTTAAGATGCCTTGTGGCGCTCCCGTACCCTCCAGAAATTCCCAAGTTATACTTTTTGTTGCAATGCTTGCAAGTGGCGTACCATATCTCGGTTTCGAGGTCTTTAACTTTTGTAAAATTGGCCTTAAAGACAGATTCAGATTTCTCACTGCCTTGGGAAGAAGTAGCCACTTCCGCTTGCTCTTCCTCATCGTCCGGTGTGCCATGAACCTCGTCCTCGAACGTTTGCGGATCCCTCTCCTCCGCATCATCATCCTCGAGCTCTTCTTCGTCAATGGTTTGTGGGATGTCTTGTTGATCAAAAAAACCTCCTTGATTTTGTTGCAATAGTTGTTCTAGTTGCTTATCGGACATCGCATCCCCATATCTTGGGTTGTAATCCGCATCAAAATCATCTCGGGTTTGAGATGAAGACCTGGCCCCTCCCTTACCTTTGCTTGACCTTGGATGATTCCTCGCAATCTCCTTTGTTCGGTTGCGGCGGAGGTTACCCATATCTACAGAAGCTCTAGCACGTTCCATCTTAAAAATATAACAAATATTAAATTCGAAGTACAATTAAACTAGTGAATTTGAAATACAGATCTACCAATTCGAAATACAATTAAATTCGAACTATGCAACTACAATGTAATAAAATTGACTACAATTAAATAATAATGCAATGTAAAAATTTGAACTATTTGTTTTAAAATGTAACAACTTTATTTAACAAGTTTAACAATTAACTAGTTTTATAGGAGAATAATAAATGTAACAATTAACTAGTTTTATAGGAGAATAAGAAATGTAACAATTAACTAGTTTTATAGGAGAATAAGATATGTAACAATTAACTAGTTTTATAGGAGAATAATAAATGTAACAGTTAACTACTATGATAGAAGATTAATAAATGTAACAATTAACTAGTTTTATAGGAGAATAATAAATGTAACAAATAACTAGTTTTATAGGAGAATATGAAATGTAACAATTAACTAGTTTTATAGGAGAATAATAAATGTAACAATTAACTACTATGATAGGAGATTAATAAATGTAACAATTAACTAGTTTAACAATTAAACAATTAATTTCGAATTAACTAGTTTAACAATTAAATAAACAATTATTGTCTAACATTTTTTAATGTAACTATTTCCGATAAACTAACAACTAACAATTAACTACTTTTATAGCAATGAACTAATACTAAAATGATAAATGAAACAATTAACTAGTTTTATATTAATAAAGAATGTATGAGTGTGTAAACTAAATTAATGGGAGTGTGAGAGTGTATAAGCAATTGGATAAATAGATAATAAGTGTATAAGTAGATATACTTAATATATATATTTATAAGTAGATAATAACTAGATTAACTAGTAATATATAATATTATGTTTATAGTATATATAATATAAGTATATTACTATAAGATGAGTAATACACTTATATATAATACTTTAATATATATATAAGTATATATAAAGTATATGTAATATGTAACTTATGAAGGAGTCCTGCGAGTTTCATAAACTCTGGAGCAGCGCCGCCTCCTAGGGTTTTCCTAGGGGCGTTTGTTCGGCTACGATTTGTTCGGTCGTGGTGCGAGTTTGGATTTTGCGTCTGTTAGTTGCTGATATAGGCATTGCAGATCGTTTTTGTGTTTTCTTTTTTGGGATTGGGGTCATCGACCTAATCGTTTTGGGATCTGTCTTGGTTGATTCGAGCAAAGCATTCGTTGGTGGCTTTAATTGTGCCCGAGGTGCTGGGTCTCGACAATGAGCA